TTACTATAGTTACGGCAAGTTATAGCCATGTGACAATTATCATTCGACTTCATTGGGACGATTCTACTGCATCACTACTCAGCACCTAGCCCATATGTATTGTTAATTTGTCAACTAAAGCTGTTAATAACCAATCACTATTATAATCTAGATCTTCAAAAGGACTCGTCAAAAAGAAATTCAATCTGAATGATTCTAATTAGTTACATATACGTACTTAAATAATGCTTTACAGAATTTCCTGATTTGTTAACATGAATACATGTTAGTGATTACTAATTTCAAAACTACACAATTTTATTTGCATAAAAAATTTTGGTCTATTTATAGATTATATAGATTATCTTTTTTTTTTTTTTTTTTTTAATTTTTACATAGATTATCTATTGCCATTGTCTTGGAATACATATCGATTACATATCGATTTTTTGTTAACTATATACGTATATCAATTATATCGGCCAATGTAATTATATCGGCCAATGTAAATTATCGCTGAGCCCCACAATATTTATTGTTACTAAATAAAGTTTTCACCTGTAATTTAACATTTGGGGGAACAATGAAGATGGACCGTTTACAATCATTACAATCATTACAATCATCCAGTCTTTTTAACTCCACACAAATAAAATTTAAAAAAAAAATTATTTGACAAACCGATGTTCGATCATCCGAATGATTAAACAAATTTGTATATAGTATCTGCATAAACAGGATTATTGTTATCTTTTTGGAATTCACGTTCAAATTTACCAATACAAGTATATATATGGTGCCATTTAACTGCTTATAGTATCCCACGATTTAGATCCTTGGATATATATATATAATACGTCATAGTAAAAAAAAAACTTACTGTAATGAGATGTGTACTAATAAACTTAAAAAAATTATGCCAATTTCTTAGCGTTGGCGTTATCGTTATTTAATGTCGGGGATGATGCTGAAATCGGATAATGCTGAAATTTTGACTTATTTATAAGGTTAGTGTTTATAATAAAAGAGTATAGGTGGATTTTAGTAGGGTTTATAGTTCCCAAATTTCATCATCATCCCCGACATTTAATATTTACTATATTGTCACGTGGCTTATGGCGTTGAACCATACGTATGCAAATGGCGACTGAGAATGCTGCAAATAGTAATTGAGAATGCGCAACTGAGAATGCTGCAAATACGTAGTAACCGAGAATGCTGCAAATAGCAACTAAGAATTGCTTCAAATAGTAACTGATAATGCTGCAAACAACAACCGAGAATGTTGCAAATAGCTGCAAATAGCAACGGAGAATGCGAGTATCATTACTATCATTATAGTATCATTATAGTATTCATTATAGTATCATTATAGTATTCATTATAGTATCATTATAGTATTCATTATAGTATTCATTATAGTATTCATTATAGTATCATTATAGTATTCATTATAGTTAAATTTTACTACATATTCAATCTTTTGTATTATACTAATTGTCTTTTTTTTTATAAATTTGTATATCTTTCTTTTAGTGAACCAGACAATAGTTTATGTTTTAAATATATCATATCAATTACTAATTGATGTAATGGCGTGGGTATACCGTAAATCTTACCCAATTTCACAATATATCCATTCAAATAATCAATTTCCATTATATACCGATTTTTAGCATCTTTTAACATGTCTGATTTTCGTGATGCTGTCTCTTGACAAATTTGTTGTATCGCATCAACTAATCTTCCAGGTCCAAATCTATTCGATGGTCTCATACCTAAATAGTTTCGATGTTCTCGCATCACTTGTGCTGATTCTTTACATAAAGCTTGTAAAACTCGATCGGCTCCAGGATTAAATAAAAGTCCTCGATTACGCATATTAAAAATTGTCGTAAGTGGATTAATACACGCATTAATTGCTAAATTCTCTAAAAGTCGATTTTGTAAACTTAATACATTAATACATCTCACTTGTAATTCTTTAATTTGCGTTAAAGCTTTTATTGTTGCACTTAACGAATTTCCTTCTCTTGGTTTTTTTTCTTCAAATATTGTTGTTGATAATTCGTCTTCTGCTGATAATCTTGCTATTCTAGAATTTTTCCTCTTATCATGTCTAGGTATGACATACTCATGTCTAGGTATGACATACTCATGTCTAGGTATGACACACCTAGGTATGACTCCAATATCAATTTCTCCAACTCCGTTATGAAAGATGTCAAATGGACTGTTTAAATTCTTCATACCATAACATAAATGCGTAGATGTTCCAAGTAAAATATTCGGTCTTAATATCTCATCATTTGAGAAAAATTTTTCCATTAATTCCTCATAAATTCCCATACAACGCGATATTATAATTACTGTACTAGTTGGTGGAAGTCGATGAAAAATTCTTTGAAATGATTTAGTAACTTCATGTGCTTTTGTTGTAACTATTAATCGTTGAGTTTGTAAAGTTGATGAATAAGGTTCATAATGAAAATATTGATCCATTAATTCTTCTTTATCATATCCACGTAAAATTTCTGTATTATATCCGTAACTTTGTTCGATATCCCTTT